GGTGAGGCCTAAGCCATCGAGAGCCTCCTTCATAGACTGATGAGGAAGTTGCCTCTCGAGGTGAAGCAGGGTCCATTTCAGGGACCTCTACCTCGGAAGTTAAGATTTTATTTTGATTTCTGTTCCTTTCTGATGAAACTTTTTTTCATATGTTTTATGTTTAGTTTTTACAAGGGTGTGCAGATAATAATCACAGAAAATTACAATTTAGATGAGTAGCAGGTTAATAAAAATTTTGTCAATTAATATTAATGGCTTACATAGTCCAGTGAAAAGGTGGAAAGCCCTATCTAAGTTTAAAAGGGACAAAGCCCAAATTGTTCTGATGCAGGAAACACATCTAGCTGACAAAGACCAGGCAAAACTTAACAAACAAGGTTTCAAACATGCCTTCTATTCTTCTCATAGTTATGGGAGGCGAAGGGGGGTGGCGATTCTGTTATCCTCAGCTTTGAATTATGAACATATAAGGTAGATATATATTGGTAACAGGTAAGACTGAGGGTACCATGATTACTCTCTTAAATGTGTATATTCCCCCAGGCAGTGACTAGTCCTTATATAGGCAGATTTTGAAATTGGCAACAACAAGGAGTCAGGGAATTTTCATTTGCTTTAATGTCACATTAAATGTCAAACTAGATTCTTCAAACGGAAAAGGTGATCAGAGGAATAGTGGAAGAAGAATGGTGCATTTTATGGACGATTTTGGACTACTAGATGTGTGGAGAGATTTTCATCCAAATGATAGAAAGTACACCCATTTCTCAATTCCGCAAAACGTATATTCTAGGCTAGATTATATTCTCGTGTTTAAGAACTATGTATTTAGAATTAAAAGCTGTGAAATAGCCGCTTGTACCATCTCAGATCATAACCCGGTTTATCTTGATATCTGCCTGAATAGCAAAAATAGATTAACCTTATGGAGGTTGAATTCAAACATTTTAAATTATCCAAATATTAAAGAGAGTTTGAAAAAAGAAATAGAAACTTACTTAGAGTATAATGAAAATGAGGAGGTATCTCCGGGAATATTATGGGATGCATTGAAGGCAGTGATTAGAGGAAAAATAATTAGTATATCCTCTTACATTATAAAATCAAGGTGGGAAAACCGTTGTCAATTAGAAGACAAATTGTTAGAGCTACAACATCTACACTCTGTGACGCTGAATGATGATATTAAATCTGATATAATAAAAAAAAGAAAGATAATCTAAACACAATGGACATACAGAAAAAACGTCTTTTTATTAAACAACGTCAATGCGAGGTAGGGAGGAAATCATTAAGACTCCTGTTTCTTAAACTTAGGAAGCAACAAGCAGAGAGGACTATACATAGAATAAAGAACCATTTCACAACTGCTTTTTGCTTTGTTTATAGAACCATTAAGTCAATGGATCAGGCAGAGACAGGATATAACTGGAGTAAGAACGGCAGGAGGGGAACAGAAATTAGCACTACTTGCTGACGACTTACTTTTAACAATATCCTTTCCCTTACAGGCACTCCCCCAAATCATGGACATGCTATCAGAGTATGGCTCTTTTTCGGGATATAAGGTTAATGTAAATAAAATGCAGGTATTAACTGTAAACTATGAACCACCAGTCAAAATTAAGAATTGCTATAAATGGAAATGGGATGCAGATAGCATTAGGTATCTAGGGTTGGTAATACACCGTGACTTCACCAAAATGTTCAGTGCCAACTATGCCCAGATAAATGAATCTATAAAATCAGATATACAAAGATGGAATACCATTCCGTTTCTGGACCTACACTCCAGGATCGAATCAATCAGATTAAATATTCTTCCCCGACTGCTGTATTTGTTTCAGTCTTTACTGATTGCCATACCACAAAAACAGTTTGTGGCATGGGATAGAATATTGTCAAAATACTGGATTGTCAAAATCTGGAATGGGAAAAAAGCTAAAGTTAAATATAAAACACTCAAACTAAAGAAAGAAAAGGGAGGTCGTGGGCTTCCTTGTCTACGAGAATATTATTGTGCAGCTCAGTTAAGACCATGGATATGTCTCTGTTGTCCAGATTACACGCCGGATGGAAAGATGTTGAAGGAACAATAGTTAAAGGAATACCAGTTACAGCTTTAATATCGGACATAAACGTGGCAGACGAACCTATACTACAAATAATGATATCTGCTTGGAAAGAAGTAATAAGAATTCGCGGTTTGGAAAAGGGCTCCAAGGTTTTAAGATGGTGTGCATATGATTCAGATTTTACCCCAAATCATTACGATAATAGATTCAAGAACTGGGTTTCAAAAGGTATAACTAATTATTATTCATTTGTCCACAAGGGGGCATTCCAAAGCTTTGAGCTTTTTTTTTTTTCAGCTTCTTAAGACGTAAACATGATTTAGGTTCAGACAACTTCTTTAGATATCTACAGGTCAGAAATTATTTTAATCAAAAATTAAAAGTGAACCTAAACGAATTACAATTTGTAGAAACATTTTTATTATTAACCAAATCTGGAGTGCAAAGTAAAATTATTTCCAAATTATATAACAGCATCCTGCGGTGTAAAAACGACAGCACTGTGTATATTAAAGCAATGTGGGAAAAAGAGGTAATTTGTCAATTACAGAGGAGTGTTGGGACCACACATGCAAGATATAGTGGGCTACCACTGGGTCTAATGTTTGGCGTGAATTTTGCTGGAAAAGAATTATGAGATTTTTCATCACCCCTGCTTAACAAAGATATTGGGGAACTGGTGACACATGTTAGAGATGTGGGGGAGATGGAGCTAACCATTTCCAAATCTTTTTGGGATTGCACAGTTATTCGCCAGTATTGGTCTCTAATCCATGAACATCTACAAAATGTGTTTTCATTTGTTTTTCCTTTAACCTTTGAGACCATATTTTTGTGTAATGTACCAGTGGATAAATTGAATTCCAATGATAATAGACTCTTGTATATCCTACTGGCCGCAAGTAAAAAGCCTCTTACAAGGGAATGGCTTAAGCTTGAACCACCAACGATGGAAGATTGGATACATTCTGTACAAGAGATCTATACGATGGAAAAATTGTCATTTTCTCTTAAACTTCAGAGGGATACTTCAGTGGGAGGCAGAGGGTCAGAGAAAAGAAGCACATAAAAAACTAACCTTTCTGGGCCATTTCCTATGCTGTTGTAGTGATTTTTAAAAAGAGTGCTAAACAATTATTTTTTCATTTGGTGTTTGTTTTTTTCTTTGATTCTTGTCACAGAAAAATTTGACCTTATCTTGTTTAGAGAGACTGCAGCTTTCATAAACTGCTTGTCCATTTCATGCGTGGATATGATGTAGGGCTGCAGCTATTGATTATCTTAGTAATCGAGTAATCTCTTGATTATTCCATCTTTTAATCAGAGTTCTGAAAGGCAGCTTTGAAAAAAAAGAGCTCTGAAAGGGGGTGTGTGCATATTATGAGTTTTTGTGCATGTGTGTCTGCAAGTTTAAGTGTGCAGGGAATGAGTGAGTTTGTGTCTTCAAGCCTTTAAAAGACTTTAAAGGAATGTGGTGGCTGCTATGAAGAAAACTGAGCATTCTGAAGTCTACCCTGTGCTTTCCCACATAACAGACAGGTCTGGCCCAGATCTGGTCCAGATCCGGCATCAAGCTGGCACTTCTGACTGACTGGTGTCATGGGTGGGTGTATGTCAACCAGATGTGGGCCAGGTCTGGCAATGGTGGCACTATTTATGTTCCTATTTTCCCATTTTAGTAAGAAGACCCAAATGCCATGTTGCAATACTATACTGCTATGGTAATAGAGCAGGGCGATATGACCAAAAATATTATCATGATATACATTTGAAAATTTGCGATAACGATATAACTGACAATATAATTGACACTAGACAAAACACTTTACAACTCCACAACTTTATTAGTGCAAAAAAACAAACAAACATCAATGTATTTTCACTTAAACAAGCAGCTGTTTTTTATATGCATTAAAGTTATATAAAAATTTTACAGAGCAAATGCAAATTCCTTGCTGACAATTTAACCAAAAGGCATTTCAAGTGGAAATTGGCCGACATATCCTCAGCATAACCATGTATAATATCCACAAAACATAAAAAGACGTTATACACACAGCGCAGAACGTATCACTCCGCGAGGCGCCTGCCTATGATAGCCGTAATGCTCCGACAATCCATCAAGCGGTGCGGGTTCATAGCTTAGCAAAGTCGTACTAAAACATTTGACTGATTTTCGAGCACCGTGTGCATAAAATCATTTCGAGGTCAGTAAACACAACCAGAATTCATACATAAGGCACACGGGATTATAAGGGCACTGTCGATTTTCAGAAAAATCAAAGGATTGATTTTAAGTGTGCCATATTTTCCAAAAAAAAAAAAATGGTAATAACGACGGCGCGCTAGCATGCTCTACCAAAAATAGTGCTTTGTTGTGTATGTGACGGATGAAAGCTAAACCAGTTACACACCACTGAAGTTGCAGCATTTTTACAAACCAATTCTGGTTCATCCGTTTCATTCAACGATCCACTTTCGCCCTTCTCATACTCCGTCGCCACCATGCTTTTTCCGCCATGTGCATATAAAAACAAAGGCACTGCGCATGCGCGTTTTACCCATATTCTATCGCGATATTTCATTTTCTTATCATTGCCCAACGTTATACCGGTATTACCGTGAACAATATGATATGGCCCAGCCCTATATGGTAGCAAACGTTTCAAATGCAGATTTGACAGGTTTGTGAGTATACACTTTATCCAAAACCTAGTGAGGTTTAAAGAAGAAAGAAGAAAGTGTACTTTATTGATCCCCGTGGGGAAATTCCTCTCTGTATTTAACCCATTCACTCAGTGAAGCAGTGGGCAGCCATTGGGCGCCCGGGGAGCAGTGTGTAGGGACGGTACCTTGCTCAGGGGTACCTCAGGGTAGCTGTTCAGTGGAATCGAACCCCCGACCTTCCGATCATGGTGCCACCACTCTACCTACATGTGTGGTTCACCTCTGGCAAACCAGGTCTGGGCCACCAAAGGGCCGTCATTCTTTGCGGTATGTGGGCCATGTGTAAGCACATTGTGTGGGCCAGATCCGGGCCATACGAATTTTGCTATGTGGGTTGATGCAAGGTTTTTGTGCTGCTGATGTGTAGATGTTAAATTATATTAATAACAGTTCAGTGTCCAATCTAACGACCCTCAGGTTTACTGAACCATACTTTTTTATTGGCTTGTGAAAAAGCTTATATATGTTTAAATATTAACGCAATTAAAATGACAACAACATTTGATATTATTTCACTTTCAACGTAAAACGTTTTTAATGAAAGCCTAAATAAATATGGTCTAGTACAACCCACGCTCGCATTTACATCGTTTAACACATTAGCACACAACAGAGCTGTGTGTTAAATGACACATCATTTAACACACAGCTCTGTCAAGTATTTTTTTATAATCAAATTATTTGAATTACTCAAATCATTACAATTAAATGCATCTAATTTGATGCATTTAATTGTTGCTGAAATAACGTAACATAAGAAATAACCTAAATAATTGGGTTCATGGGGTCTTGATGCATTCTCAATCATCTAGGAAAGTAAATCTCCAAAAAGTTTATTCTGTTCATCTGGACGTAGCGTTTTGTGGGAGAAACGTTTCGTCACTCATCCAAGTGACTTCTTCAGTCTCAGCTGACTGACCTCTCAGCCCATTGTTCCTTCAGTGGGCTGGTTTCAGTCATTATGCAAATGTACTGTTTATAAGGTTGGGGAAACCTGCAGTCAGTTGAGACTGAAGAAGTCACTTGGATGAGTGACGAAACGTTTCTCTCACAAAACGCTATGTCCAGATGAACAGAAGCAACTTTTTGGAGAATTGGGTTTATGCTATAGGATTCAGTCTAGAAATAGTAAAGCTGTCTTGCAGGCTGATACTGACCTGGAGATGCTGAAGGTCATCTTCCTGAACATTCTGGGAAAGGTTGTACACCTGAAACACACATAATGTTGATGCCATAATTTCTAGATAAAAATGTATATTCTATTGTTATACTATCACAATGAATTAAAGAGTTTCTTATGTGACAACTAGAATATACTAGAAATAAAAAAGATGACTGACCTGCACAGAGCTGGTCATGGTGCTCAAGGCAAATAGTGTGGCACAGTCTTTAACGGTAGACTGGCTGTCAAACGCTCCCTGTGTGTCTATTAGTAGAACTGCAACCTGTGGAAAAATGATGTAAAAATAAAAACATCACACCACATACATACAAATAAATATATATATTTTTTAAATTTCCCTCTCCCCCAAGGGCGTTATTTCTCCTTCAAGCTTGGGTCCTCTACCAGAGGCCTGTGCGCTTAAGGATGTTGTTCCTGTGATCTGTTGGAGTCACTTGCCCAGCTTGGGGGGGGGGGGGGGGTAACGAGAGTACTCCGATTACCACTAGGACCACTGTTGCCTTCATCTTCGACATCTTCTTGAGTTCTTCTCTCAGCCCCCTGATATCACTTGGTATACCTACATCAATCACTACAGCTGTCTTCCTCTGCTTGTCCACGACTATTATGTACGGTTGGTTAGCCATCACCAGTTTGGCTGTCTGTATCTGGCAGTCCCCACATGATCTTAGGTCTCGACGACCCTAGTGGGCATGTCTCATTTTGACCTTGAGACTTCCAGGTCATTCTCAGCCCAGGTGTTCCTGTATAATATGCCTGCTGGGTTGTAGCATTACATGCATGCCCTGTGTGCTAGCATCTTGAACCCTGCTGTTATGTGCTGGATTGTCTCAGGGGCATCTTCACACATTCTGCACCTGGGGTCTTGCCTAGTGTGTTAGACCCTAGCCTCTATGGATCGTGTACTTATGGCTTGTTACTGTGCTGCCATGATTAGCGTCTCTGTGCTGTCTTTCAGTCCAGTTTTGTCCACCCACTGACAGGATGTCAGACACTTCTTCTGACAGTGGCCAAGTAGTGGCCTGCCGTTCCATCATCCTTACTTCTTCTCCTTACTCCTCTTCCGTCTTGGGTTTCTGATGCTACTAATCACTGGCAGGGCGTAAGTGTAGATTGCCGGGATCTTGATCTTCATATGAAGCTTACTCCTCAGAACTTGCTTTACACTCTGCTGGTACTTGGTGGTTGCAGCTTTCCTAGCGGCCTCTTTGTGGTTCCCATTTCCCATTTGCCTATGAGATTCCCAGGTGCCTGTAGCTGCCCTCGATGTCTGCAATGCTGCCTTCTGGTAATGCGATCCCATCAGTTTGGAATACCTTCCCTCTCTTTGTTACCATCCGCCTATGCTACACTACAGACATCAGAATGTCATTCAGGTAGATCCAAGTTGTGTGGTAGGTAGATTAGGTGGTTGACAATTGCTCCATTCCATAGTCGGTATCACTGACAGTAACTGAGGCAAGTCAGACCTACTTTGGATGTTGTGCTGGAGTCTTTTGTGAGTCGTCACTGAGCTCTTAGAGCAATTTTGTTCAGTTCTTGTCCAGCCACTCCTGGGAAGGTTTACCAATGTTCCATTTTTCACCATTTGTCACAAGTGTGGCAGTAATCAGGCCTGGGTGTGGCTAGAGAAATTAAACTCAGCTTTACAAAGATGGCATAGGAGGAATTACTTTTACAGACAGGGCTATATAGGTCTGTATTTTCACCTGAATAATAAACGCCTTCACTTAAAAAACACATTTCTGTTTTTACATGTGTCAACTTTGTCAAATATTTAAATTTGTTTGATGATCTGACAAATTTAAGTTAACAAAAAATAAATAAATCAGTACGGGGTGAAACATTTTTTCACGCTATACACATATACACACATACCCACACCACATTTTAAAAGGAACAGCCTAGAAGATGCTGTGACACAGACCTTGCTGTGATCTGGTTTCTCCACTACAAACACATCGCTCCACGCCTGGATGCCCGTGGTCTCCCGTTCACAACCACCCCGCCAAGTGAAGCCGGTCAGAGGTTCCTCCACACCGCCGAGCCACGAATCAGATGACTGGAAGATCACAAGAGTATAGCTAACAAACTG